CAAACATCGATAAATAATATATATTTTTTTACTGCGCGTATTAAAAATATCGATCGTCGTCGTTATCATTATCATTATTATTGTTATTATTAGAAAAACGAAAAAAACGATCAATGAAGAATTTTTTATAATCTTTCAAGCATGCGCTCACAATTTCTCTACTTTGACATCGAATTTGTTGTTTTAATATACACGCTTGGTAACGCCCTTATGCATCGTTATTGTTAAGTGTTCTATTTTATAATTATGTACAAATTGAAACTAAATAAATTTTTCTTATCGGTGAAATAAAATTGTCGATAAAAAAAAAAATAACGTTGCAATTGTCAAATTCAGATTGTATTATAGCATGAATTCTTCTATTTAATGATTGGCTCCTTGCGAATAAAAAATGTTCAGGAATGAATATATCGTTCTTAAAGTCATTGTATTCGTTATTATTAATTAAATTTTTTATACGCTAGGTTTGGTTGATTTTTTTCATTTGTGCGAAGATTTTTTCCCTAGCTAAGTCTACTAATCGCTTTTTTTATTTTCATCGTATCATTCTTATCACTCGCCATATGCAATGACGGTTATATTTCGGAATAAAATATATCTGAGTAGCGAAAAAAACATTACAACAGTCGTTACATGTACACATACACAGAAATATGAAACACAACATCGTTGATCATCAACAATCTTACATAAATTTTGATTCCTTACTATTTAACGATAAAAATGTCTTTTACATAATTTAAAACATGAATTGAACTATATTTCATTATATTTATATATATCTTATACAGAAACAAATCCAAAGCAAGTAAAAAATTGGAAATCAATTTTTCTTGTCACCGTAAGTCCCTCACGATCTTACGAACGTTGCATTATATTTATTAAATATATTTTATCTAGCTGTTTTAGGTACATCATTTTTAGTTGATAAGTTTTATTTGTCGTATGTTATGTTAATTATTATTAGATCGTTTTTATAACTCACTATACATTTGGCGTACGTATTTTCTCCATAGACAAAATTCCATGTGTTTTCTGTATCTTATTAAATCTTAATTTTATATAATTATTTTTAAAGTTTTTCTACAACTCGTATGAAAATTTTTATGTTTACATAATCAATACTTCTTTTATTAATATTATATTACTTTTTAAATAATCCGTTACTTTTTCAATGTTTGCTCGCATCTCCTTCGCTTTGGCAAATTGTTAACAATTTATTTGTAAATCTGTGCAGCACTCTGTTTTCGTTACGTTGATTTCCAGTTTTTCTTTAGTAATATTTTTAATTTATGTTCACGCTCGTACGCACGCACATCGTATTCGTTTAAATATGTAATTATTCATCAAAAATTCTCATTCGCAACAATTCTATAAATTTATAATCGCGCGCACGTTAACATACAATGTATTCGCAATTTTGTTTTTATAAATAATCTTCATTCAACTTCATTTATTTCCGTAAAGATGCAATAATTGATATTTTCATTATTTATAATTTTTGTTTATCATTCGCGTCATCTGCAATCAATCGCGATTTGCCAAGTTCATTATCCATCGCTCGCATTTTACAGCAGATTATTTCATTTTTACATTGTATTCATTTATGTATAGATTTATTTATTATTATGTATAATAATGTATATAATTATATGTTCATCTTTTTATACGCGTTATTTAAAATTCAACATATGCAAAGACATGATACAAAAGTGATTATCTTAATTTCCCGTGTCAAATTGTCGGTATTTAATTCGAAAAAACAGCCGCGCGAAAAATACACGTGATAAAACCGGTTGACAATATTGTATTTCTCTCGTTTTTCTGTCCACTTCATTATTTTTTACTCAGTTTAAACTTGTATCATTTATACATATTTTATGTAATAATAATGCTCACCCGTATAATATTTTAATATTTATATGATTCATGTTTTATCTTTTTTTCTGTTAATAATACAATTGGTGCTGAGATTCAAGAGATAATCTACACATAAGCAAACGTGTTTATTATAAAAATCGAGCGACGACTTTTAATTGTTATTTTTTGAATGTGTATTCGAAGGATTGATTTTCGCAAAAACTATGATTATTATATACGTATATATAAGTCCGTTAGCGTATATTTGAAAAAATATTTGTTTAAAAAAAATATACCCATGAATACAGAACAAACTATACATTATTATATTTATCATATATTATTTTTTCATTCAAAGGATCGCTCGAGTTTCAAACTCAATCGATGATGCTTCATTTTAAATCTTCTTAATAAGGTGTATAAAAAACTATATTATCATTATCATTATTATTAGTTTTTACATTATTTATTTTTTTTATTAATTCTCATTTTTAAATAATTTCACTCAACTGAACGTCGCGTATAAACAATACTCTTTTCCTGAGAACCAAGCGCGAGAGAAAATGTTCATTTTAGCTTAATTTTTCAGCTCTTTTAGCTCATTTGTACAAATATTGGAGAGAAAAGTTTATTATGAAAAAAATGCGTTAAAAACGTGTACACTCTGCAATGAAAATATGCGGAGATTAATTTTTCATTAAAACAAGATGGATTTTATTATTCTCGAACTAATTTAAAATTCTGATCAGAAATGTATGACTTCATTCATTAGCAATAAGGTAGTAAGTAAAAATTTAACGCCCTGCCAAAACGAAAAAGTAGAATCAGCATTCGATTAGATTAAGCTGCGCATAAATAACTAAGACTTTTCGCTCTTAAAGTAGTCATCGGTAAATCTTTGTCGTGGATAAAAACTAAGTAATTTCATGTTCATCGTACTTTTATTTACATCGTATATTTTATTCGTATTTTTTGTGCTTGACTTGAATTTTCGCTCTTTGACGTAATGGATTTGAATCATTGACATTTTCGAGAGTACCCAATTATTCACAAAAAAAATCAAGTCAATGCACAATAGATGAGATTTTTAATTTATGTTTAATCCGTAATAAAAAAAAGAAATTAACTTGTCGTAGTAAAATACCCTCGTATTTACAATTCTTGAATTTCGGGATTAAAAGTAAACGATATATTATTATTGATTAAAATTACTCATATCAATATGTATAGTCTACGACGTATTTGAGCATTTGGCGCGCGGCTTTGGTGCTGTGGTGGGTCGGTCTTACTTTAATTATCTTATATCGTCTTAATTAATTTGTTTTTAGATTCCATTTTTTTCTAAAGTTTTTTATTTTTTTTTTTAATCACAATTTTATCATTTATGCTCTTTTTGTCGATGTATGTACCCTTAACGTTTGATGTATTTAAGTAATAATAATTTTTATAACGTCAACGAAATTTTTTATAAGAAAAACGATTCCAAACTTTTTTTGAATTATCTATGGTTGTATTACTTTTAATTTCAGGGATGTGCGTGTGCGTGTGCGCGTGAGTTTTTATCATGATTAGTTATAAAAAATTATTTATTGAAGAATCTTATTATTTGCCAATTATTTGATTTCGATTTATTCGAGTCTAGAATGTTTTTACAGAAGTAAAGAAATATGAGTATTAATAAATAATTTCTCAATGTGTATATCAATCAATCTTGAAATTTACTGACGGCAAAAAGTATAAGTAAGATTTAAAAATATACTCTGTATTACGAGCACGAATTGCGCTAAATTAAACGTCACGTGGTACGCGTATTAAATATAATAGGAACAAAGCCTTAAGGTTTCTATAAAGTCAGTATGTGGGAAGAATTATTTTTAAAGATACGATTAAATATTTTTCACAGTGAATTTAAATCTAAATCAATTCCTTGTTCTTTCTTAAAATTTTCTCATTTATCCTCATTTATTAATTTTCATTTTTATCTAAAATGGATTAATCAATTGTTTTCTTTTTTTTCTTTTAAAATCTCATGATTAATATTTAAAATTTATTCATAAGTTGACACAACAGTTCGTACTATCCGTGCTTTAAAACGTGTTCATCAATTTTTTATAATTTCTAGGACACATTGCGATTTTCTAAAGCCTTACACATATTCATCCACTCGCACACTCACACTTATACTTCGATGCTTGAGCATGTTGTGTTAATTATATATTAATTTTACAATTGGCACACATCAAATTTTTGTTCTACTCTCACTCGCTCTACTTTTACATTATTTTATTTTTTATTAATCTAAATACCAATATGCTTGTAATGCGTAATAATGGTATAGAGTGCGCAATTTGCGAAAGTCGTCGACTCGAGCAACGAATTCGATTTTCTTTCTTTGCTACTTTTAACCGTAATCGTTGGCATCTACAATTAATTTCCTGATAATCGTAATTTATAAACGAGTTATGAGTATAATTCATACGATAAACATTTTGCTCGCATCAGAGCTATTATAACGAGATAGAGATATATGAATACATTTCAATACTTATGCACTACGTCTATGCTTGTCATTTATTAACACATTTAAAATTGTATACGACCGTTTTGGGCAAGAAAAGGAACCACTCTCCGTTAAATCTCCATTAAACTTCTGTTGTTTACAGACTAATCGTGTATTCAATTATTTTTTGATAGTATTTTGACACCTTGTATAGTTGTGTAATTTTATATTCTAATAAAAACGATTGTTCTTGAAATATTTTTAAAAAAAAGTTCGCACGTGAGCTTAAGATCAAGTAAAACATCATTTTAGACAATCAGTTTGTTTGCGCAGAGCATGAAAAATTTAAGTTTAAAAAGAGAATGGATAAAAAAAGGTTAACGACGAAGAAAGTATCTTACTCTAATGAGAATAGTCCGTTCGCAAAATAAAAAGAAAAGTAGAGAGAAAGAGAAAGCATCATATTTCTGCAAGACTAAAAGGAGCAGTCTAGGCGCGCGTTGCTCTCGTCGTTTCTCGACCCACTTGACTTTTCTCTCCACGCGCGACGTCTTTGAGAAAACGACGAGCGAGCGCGCGCGTTATGTACTAACGCGCGCAACAGAAAAGAAACGAAAGAAAACTGCAAATGAAATGAAAATGTTGTGTTACTAATTTTCTTTTTCTTTTTCAGCAGTAGCAAAATTTAATAAAAAATGGCAGCAGCTGCTGCGTGTGAGCTAATGCAGAAGCATAATCGACGACATAAGCGCGCAGCAGTGTTAATATTCACAACGATTATTATTTTCGAAAGCAACCGTATTCTTATAATATGATAAAAGCAAGGGAGACAACGATTCACCGATGTGTACTCATTTAATGGCAGCTATATAAACTTGAACATTTTCTTGTTTTATACTGAATTTTTTTTTCTTTTTTTTCTTCAAGGTACTTAATTCACATTTGCATTGCGACAACACATCAATGCATTAACAATTCACTCATACTTGACACACTTGGATAGACGCTCGCTTTCATTACATTCAATACATTATTTTTTCATACACACTTTTCAATAAAGTCATTAATAATGTACTATAGTTTTTAAAACTAAGTTAATCAATTATTTACGACTGTATTTACGATTTATTTTATTATTTTTATTATAAATATTGAAGTGTAACCAATGAGGCATTTTAGGTGTTGGATCTTTACACGTATAAACGTCTTTATTTTATAATCTTGTTCGTTTAGTTTAAAATTTTTCTTATACAACTTCGTGTACAATAAATTATTAATTTATATAATTCACGTATTACATAATCATAATAGCGTCATTTTCATTTTTCGATATGAGTATGTGAGTGTGCAGATTATAACGTTTAATTTTTCCCCTTATCTTCCCTCGTCCCGGCCAGATATAACGTATTTGCCGGATGGCCATGCAGCATCGCGGAGCTTTTATCGATTACCCATAACATTACGTATTCTCGGCTCTGCCTATATGCACACTCATGCACGCAGAGTCGCGAACGCTCATGCCCATAATTATATAATCATAATTTCAATGATAATAATAATGATAAACCTGGCAAATATATAAAATTACTGAGCTTTTTGAATGTACATCGGTGCGGCAATAAACGTTATTCTCTTGCAACAGTCACATACGCGAAGTTGTTTTTTTTTACATTTTATGCATGTAACAAATAAATTGTCCTTAAATTGTTTTTTCGGTATTTAAACATTATTTCTGTCCCATATAAAACAATCGTTCATCATTATGCATCTGTAAAATCCACATCGTCAAATTTATTTGTTAAATAAATTGTTTTACTTTTTACGTCGTTTTATTTATAACTTTTCTTTTTATATATATATTTATATAATAATATATAGATATATTTATATAATATATTTCTGTAATTTATTCGTTATCACTTTGACTTAAGCACTGCTTATGTTAATAATTATACATTTTTATTCTCGTTAAAATTTTTTTAATACTCGCCCTTTTTCGTTTTTTATACTCTTTCTTTTAAAAATTATTTTTGTCGTTTTATTCGTACCATTTAATACAATAATAATACAATACAATACTTGTGTCGTGTAGTACGTCCAAACGCAACTTTCATACTTTGTCGTAGTGTGTCAGTACAATATTCTCAGCGTTCGCTAGCGAATACAACAACAGCAGCAGCAGCAGCAGTTGCGGGGGGCCCTTCTTCTCCGGTAACATGTGTGCGTGTGTGTATGTGTATCGTTAACATGTACACGTACAACTCAAACTCCAATTACAACGGGGGGGTGCGAACGTAAATTTCTGGCCAAAAGACTCGATCCTCGGCCGTCGTCGCACTTCGACACGTCCACCTGGTTAATTAATAGGACCCTGGGCTGGTTGTGAACTTTGCTCGAGAGCTTGTACTTGGACGCGTGTGTGCTATGCAGGGTTCGACGTGTGTTTCGCGTACAACTACAATACACGTTGCACGCTCCAAGAGGGCGAATTCCTGTGCTCCAAGAGAGAGAGAGAGACACGCACGGCCGCAGCTACCGAGCGGAGAATTTGCCGTCAAAAGCAACAGAGACAGAAATATACATTATAATGCGCGTGATGAGCAACGTGTATATGGAAGAGAGACTCGTGTGTGTAGAGAGAGTAAGGGCTATAATTGACTCGCAAGGCTTGCGAACGTGTCCGCTTGTGTGAATATAGACATGCTATACAGGAAGCGGCCATTAAAATTAATGGGACAAGGAGCCGAACGTTACAATGGAGAACTTGCGAGAGAGAGAGAGAGAGTGAGTGAGAGAGGCAGGATATACATATACACATAATACAATGTGTGAACCATGTATATAAGCTCAAGGGGCTTTAACCTCGGTGTGGGCTGCGCTGCACGTCGAATGCAGCCTCTACCTGTTATTCTCCTGTTTTCTCTCTTTTCTCTTTTCGACTAACGGAGCACGGAAAGCACGAAGGAAGAAAGGAAAATAAGCAAAAAGCGTCACTACTACGTGAAAGCTCGAACAAAGTATAATATGCCCATTACATCGGCGAGGAGGTATATTGTAATATCGAGAGTCGTTTGAAAATCAATTCGTTTGAACATTCGCGTACGGCAATGAAAATTGCTGGCCTCAAGGACCGTTTTAACGTTTCGTCGAGAACCAATAACGTATACGTCGCTTAGTTATTATTGCAAGTCGTGCGTACGCGAGAGTAAGATCGACTGTTCCGTCAAACGGATCTTACCAAGTATACTCGTGGTATATGGCCATGTGCTTTTTCTTTTGGCAGTTTCGACAAGGCCGCTCTTCAAAAAAAGAAGCAAAATAAAGAGCTAACGCACCAGGTGGCTTATCGGAGGCGATGGCGCTTTGCGTGTCTTTAACGAGTGTATGTATCCGTGAGCGCGGCCAAGAAAGAGTTCAAAGGGACGGGCCCATTATCAGCTGATGCGAGCTCGACAGGTCGACGACGATGCAGTCAGTAGCAAGAGGAAAAACGCATAACATCGACTGTAATCGCAAGACAATGAGCTATTGTCTTCGCTTTTTGTTCGCCGTTGTATTCCTGACTGCTGTTGTTGTTGTTGTTGTTGTTGTTGTTGTTGTTGTTGGCGTTGTTGGCGTTGACAATTGGACGCTGCACGTCGATGATCAGCACTCTGTTACGGTCACATACACCAAGATCGTTTCGTCAATAGATGGTGTGAATTATTTTTCATTTACTTCGACAGACAGAGAGAGAGAATAACTCGTACTAGACTTACTCGTGCGTCATCGATCGCTCCGACTTGGTAATAATAAGAAAGTAAATAAAAGTACGTCCGGCTTATTGCGAATGGCGGCCCGGTACTGGCGCTCGACTACTGGACGATGATGTGGGGCGCCGAAAGCAGCACCGCCACCGTCGCCATCACCGTGAACAGCGTGAACACTATCAGGCAAAATCTGCAACAAGTCCACGACGGAGGGGGAGGGAGAAAGAAAAGACGAAAATCAGCATCATCGTCTCGAGGGCAATTATTCGAATGTAAATCGTACCTGTCGACGACCATGGCGGCAAACTTCCAATCGCTTATGACCTCGGACTCGATGTCGGACTTTTTCATGCGGCTCGTGATGAACTGCAGCTCCTTGAGGATCGTGTGGAGCTCGCGCTGCGTGCCGCTCAGCGGCAGCGAGGCGGACGTCTCCTCGACCGTGGCCGGCCGCTGCGTCATCGGCGTGCCGTACCGAGAGTATTCCGCCCTTCGAAGGCATAAAGTGTGTCAAAAAACGGACTTTGCGTTAACCTCGCTTGAAAATTTTACCTCATGTTGTTGGTCGAGTAGGCGGTCGTTTGGCCGCTTATGTGACGAAAGTCGTCGTCGATGTCTAGGACGTTGGCTAGTAGGCTCTTGCTGCTGCGCTCCTGGAGCTCGAGCTCCTTCATGCGATTGCTCATGAGGATCGTCTTTCGGGTGATTTTCTTGCCGGGACGGTCCATTCTCAGTATCCAGGGCAGCCATTGTAGAAACACCGACTTTGTCTGCGCGACGCGTGTTTTTTCAAAGTGCGAGTTGAGATCGCCATCGTCTTTTTTTTTTTTTTCATGGATATTCATTATGTAACAAAAGACTCACCCAGTTCGGCATCTCGTAATTGTCAGGTTTTCGATGATGATAATTGAGAACGAGGACGGTGAGCACGACGCTGCTCGCCACCATGAACATTATGCAGTTGAAGTACGTTCCTGGGCCGTGTAAAAGCAGTTTTTTTGTCGCAAGACGAGTAGAGTCGCGACAAAAAACAAAGAAAAAACAGCGATTAATCGGGTTTCTTTTGAGCATAGCACATTTACAAAACAACAGCTATGTCTAATTAAATTCTTTTTTTGTCATTTTTTAGTTAATATGGTTTTAGTCGATATTAGGAGATGAAAAGAAAGATCCAAGTTGTGAAAAAGAGGATTTGTATCGAAAATGAATAAAATATTTATCGATCAAATCATCTTCGCACTCGATAAAACATACAGATGATGAGTACACTGAGCAAGAGAGATAAACAAGAGATGTAGAGATGAACAAAGACGGACAGACACACAGACAACATTTATATAAAAAAAAAAACGTTCGAGGAGTGTAAAAGACGTGTAAGGCACATTTACAATACACATATATAACAATTATATGATGGACGATATCTCTTATCGCGTCGAGCGATGCTACACAAAGAGACTATATTATGGAGAGAGACTACTACAAACACTTGACGGTTTCACAATCGCGGCTTGCCGGAGAGCTTCGAGCGTGAGACAGCGATACATGTACACGCAGAAAGAAGTACGTACGCAGCTTTTATTTATTCGCGCGCATAACAACTACGAATACAAAACTTGTGATGTATACTTTATGCTTTATTCTACAAAAGAATGAAAAGAAAGAGAGAGAGAGAGAGAGAGAGAAAGAGAGAGACAGAATGAGAGAGCGAAGGAAATAAATTCATATAAAATTATGATTTCTCTCTTTCTCTGGCAACTAAGTAAATATATTCACTTCTTATGCAGTTTTCAAACTGTATCTGTTACTCGGCGCGCGAGTAACGGAGTTGTTTCCAGTTAAAGTAGAAGTTAAGATAGAAACTACGAGGCTAAGTGAGGAAAGAGAGAGAGAAAAAAATTATGAGAGAAGCAGAACGAGATAGAGAGAAATAAAGCGCAGAACAACAATTTTGCAGCTATACAAATTTACACACGGTGTATTAGGCAACATACGTGTAACGTGCACATGCTAAATTCTAAATAATGGCAAAGGTATATATACATGTGTGTACGTGTGTATGTGTGTGTGTGTAGGCTAAGCTAATTACTTACTTCGTTGCAAGCGTACAGAGAAAGAGGAGGGAAAGAGAAAGAGAGATTAAAGCGTCGGGAGGCAAAAGAGACTTTACGGTTCGTGTGCATATACTTACAGTGAAATAAATATTAAGTACTTTTAATTTAGCATACATATATATATTTACAGCGGTAAAAAGAGGGCACATGTACACTCGCATAAACAGATCTCGAAACTGGAGAGAAATCATACATATTCAAGGGGATGTACGTTGGCTTTTACATCGGGAGGGCAGGGATTAATATTGCAATAAATATACGTTGGTACAACGTATAATGTACGTACAAGAGAAATTACACTTTTCCTATATGGTTAATTATTTTTTGCGTATTACGGGGCCCAACAACAGCCACCAGCAAAAAACTGCTTGTTTCTTCTGTATTTACATACATAATGCGAATAGAGAGAGAGAGATAGATAGATAAAGATAAAGTTTATTGCGATAATAATGCTAAAAGAAACGAGAAAAAATGTTTTCAGCTCATATTTTTTACAATTTATATAAATAGTAATGTATAATAATATGTACAGGCATGCATTTACAGAATTATTTTTATATATTATGGTAATCATAACGTTACAGCGATCCACAAGATAAATAACTGAGCATATATACGATATACAAGTACTTCTTATATAAATATCATAACCATATATAAAGGGATGAGAATCGACGTTCTTTACAAATACACACAAAGTATACAAAATAACTTGATTATTTTTCAAACACGCAAAATTTAAAGCTACGATTATATCAGTGCGTATACTATGTATCACGAGATAGTAACTATTCAAAGTTTAAATCCCATGATGTTTGTTATTCGGAGGCAAATACAGCATTCGCCGTACGGTGTCACGCTCAGTAATATATAAATTCTCGAGTGCGTATATAGGTAAATGGCTAAACCAGGCGGATAATTATTATTCAACGTTCGCAGAGGCGCACGCATATACGCTCGTAACGAGGTTTAAAAAGAATGGCAATGAATCGTTGATTCACTCGCGCCAGGCAAATTGAAGCTTATAAGTAGTAATATTTACATGATTTGCATGCAGTACTAGACAATGCTAAGTTTTTATATTCGTTCGCTTGAAAACGAGCGAGGATCATTGTTGAACTGCATTAAATCGTATTATGCTAATTTTAAGTGATTCGTGTCGATATGCACATACATTTGTAAATATAGAGATAAAGATGAACGATAATTGCACATATGTACGTGATGTTATCGTGATGTTATCGCGCTGTGTTTCGAAAATTAATTACGTTAATGGATCATCGGATATTAATCATTGAAGGAAGCGATGGAAATTCGTTTGTACCATTTGTTGGTCGAAAAGAAGGGAGGAAAACAGTTCAATACGCCAGCTTAATGCTCGTCGAAAGTATCTGTTTATACTATCGATCATAATTTTATGGCAAATATTTATAAATTACGACCATCCAGATTCTTTCGTTAAAGTCGAACACTCGAAGGATTTTACAGCTAGAATTTTGGAATAATTTCATCTGGCTTCACGGACGATCTGAAATGCAAATGAAAGTCATCTTCATCGAATCAATCGGAGCAATTTTTCTTTTTTTTCCCCCACAGTCGCTGCCGGAGCAATATAATACCTATCGGAAAGCATATCCTTTCGTTGGTAACTTTCGTCGTTTGGTTGCTGCTGCTTATTATGCGCTTGCAAGCAATTTCGAAAGTTGCATTTCGACGGATCAGAATTTCTACCTTATATTATATGACGAATGAAAGAAAATACCCGTATAATTAACATTTCCATGCTTTTCAGCTCGGAGCTGGATTTCGCACGCGGGTCGAGCGCGCGCGCATCAATCAGTTATAAATGCATACGCAATCAAAAGTTCGCCGCAGCCGCACAGCGACGCGAACGAGGCCCTTGTGTATACGCGCGCGCGCGAACTATAGAGAAAAGGCACCAAGTCTTTCAGGCAGCGCTAAAAAGAAAATTGATTTTGAAATTGCATACACGCGATGAGAGGAAGAGAGAGAGAGAGAGAGAGAGTTGAGCGCATAAGTGCGACTAGAGTATAACGGCAGCGAGAGAGAAAAGCTCGTGGATTTATTAAGAAAGTTCGGATTGGTTGCCGCGGAAGCTGCTGCAAGCTCAGCCTCTCTCTCGCTTTTTGTGCAATTGTTCGATGCTCGGCACACGTGTAGCTAATGTTGGGCTCGGGAAAGTCAACGATATTAGTGACTTTGCATCACAGACAGAGGATTTCTTGGCTACAAAATCACCATGTCGATAATAATAATAGCAACAACAATTGTTACCATTGTATCATGTCTATCATCCTTCTTGAGAGCTTAGTAGTACAGAGCTTTTGTAAAACATAACAGCATTAGGGTATAGTATTATGTACAACATAGGTTAAATACTAGGCTTCAGTAATATCGTGTGATTACGCATCGCGCGACACACAAGGCACACAAACGTCGATATATATCCAGAGCCGCGTACAAAGACATCAAAGAGCACGAGGATTAAAATCAGTAGCTCCTAATTGTGCCCTGTGTGTGTGCACTCGAGCGAAATGGAAAAAAACTTCTCGTAATACGTAGCTCATCACTGATAGTGCGCGAATCGATCGCTCATTATAACAGCGGATCGAGAGAAAAGGAGCCATCATTTTATACGCGACGATTACAACGCTACTCTGAAATCTTGAATTTTATTGCCCGAACGACTCGAAGAAAATTAGCTATAACCGATCGAGATTGCCGATAACTACCATTTCTGCTGGAGCGTACGTGTAGAAAAAAGAAAAAAATCAAAAAGTTTCCGCGTCGTAAATTACTTAGAGTTAGCTCGTGCATTTCTTATACGAGAAGCAGCTGGGGATCGGAGCTGGGCTGCTCTAACACACGCATTAATGCTCTTCTGGGCTGTATATTATATATATAGACCGGTTTGTTCTCGAGAGGATTGGCGGACTCGTGTGTTGTGCAGCGGCGGTACTAGCAGCAGCAGCAGCAGCCCAGAGAGTTGATAAAAAAATCAAGACCACATGCAACGAGGCAACGCGCAAAATGATAAAGAGATCCTAAGTATCGGAAATGAGACTCGACGATCATAATATTATCGTTTAATTTACGAAGCTAAGGCCGTTAAAAATTGCTGCAAGACGTCCATGATTTACCACCCAATAATGCAGCCAAAAGTAGGTTTTTTTATTAACTGAATTTCTGGTACTAGTATAGATATATGTCAGGGCGTTAACATGCCTTGCCTCGTAGATTATATATAGGCAGGCGACGCATGAATCGATAATGCCACGTTCTATATGTGAGGCCTCGTGTTCGTGATAGCAGCTAAGCGATTGACGAGCATCGAATCCGTCGCAGCGTGTCGTTACGCGCGTGAGACTTTTTTTTCAATTACTCTTGATTGCTGTGGTTAATAATTTGAAATGATTTAAAATTCATATAGAACATTAGCAAGTAGAAACGCGAAATGGTTTTTGAAACATTATAGATTCGAGGGGTTTCAAAAAAAGTTTTTCTCAACTTAAATTTTCAACCTGATGTCAGGAACTCGTTTAATTGATTGAATTTTTTTATGGCAGCTTCGATTTTATATTGGTATTATTTGAACTAGTATTACAATATCAGGACGCGTTTTAAACTCAGCAGATGGAAAATAACAGATGGGACAAACTGAATCATAGTTGAATTAAACCGCAACAAGTTTCCAAGTTATTACAGCTCAATTACGAACTGGTGGTTTAAGCTCTCGACTATGCAACGTATTTAATAACGTCGAAAAATTGTAGCAAATGTTTCGTGTTTCTCGTTTGTATCATTAACAAAGTGCGCGGGCGAAAGAGAGAGAGAGAGAG